TGTGTTGATGTCAGCTTATATGCGGTACTCGCTACGGTGCTCAGCATATACTTGGAGTTGTTATTATCATCGTGGGTGTTGCTATACAGTTGGGCCCACTAGTGGTAGGAGGAGGCGGTTCTCCTGTGCTCATCGATGCTCTCATCTCAGTCGAGTAGCGAAGACAATCCGACATCAACCACTACTAGCTTGTTTTGGTCTGTAGTTTATCTTATAGCGCCTTTACCAGTTGCCGTGGCAGCAGTGTAGGTCGTGGGTAATTTCGTGGCGCAGTGACGGTGGCTCTATCAGTTACCAAGAGTCGGAGTTTTCCAAGCGCAAGGTGAACTTGATATCACTAATGTATTGGAGTAACCTCATCCAAGCTATCATCCTGTTCATGCTGGTCACAAGAGATCAGTCCACTCTGATTCCACACTGGTCCCCTATGCAGGTACCGTACGACCTGGTCGCCTCGGATCACTCGGAGGTGTTACAGTGGCCGGCAGCGTATCGGTGTATAATGGCCTCTGATGAGAGGGTCAATCCCGAATGCGCTAATGGGCAGGCTGGGATGTAAGGAGCCGCAACTCGTAGAATTGCCCTGCGTGAAGAATTATCGATTTTCTTGATTCTATCGGTGGCATTGTTGTATCTGTTTCAGCTACCTAGGGTCGTGTATTCTGTGGATGCTCATTTCCCAATTGCTCCAAGCGGAGTTGGTCCGACATGCAGGAGCCAGCCTCTGTGCTGTAGTCATGACGCTGGGCTTGCCTACCACCGCCCTCGCTTTTTCCGTGAGTACTTTGGTGAAGTTGGATGGTCGTTCAGTTTGACTGTGATGATATGACTCGAGCTGTTGTTCTTCGAAGCGTACTTTGACTTCTGTGATTATTGAAGTTGTACATCCTTGGATCGGTGATAGCAGTATTTGTGTATCAGATGCCTGAGCTTATGGGGGACCATATCGAGCCTATTGATCGCTCAACCATGTTGGCCCTCTCGGTGGTGAGTACTATGCCTCTCAATTGGTTGCTTTACTCGTTCATTGTAGATTCTGTTGGGCGTAAGCTTATACCGTTCGGCTAATATAAGCGATAATGCTCCTGTTAGCCCGAAGAGTGCCGCAGTCTTGGTGCAGTCCACAGACTCGAACGGTATGTATTTCCGTAGGCGCTAAGGTTCACAGCAAAATGACGTTGTTGTGAATTAGGTGAGAATCGTCATACTCCTCGGCGAAGGTCCAGTGTCCAGCCTCGGCTCTATAGTACTGGTATCGGCATCAT